CGCGATAGATGCAAGTATCAGCCTATGCTGTGATTCACACCCCAGATTTGCTAACATCTACAGACCACTCTCGGTATCCCCATACTCATCATTCTCCTAAAGATCCTCACTGGTCTCGTTCGTTTCACACCCGTCGGTCAACCCCCCGAATCTGTTCAGTCTGGCAACTACGGTACCCCTCCCAATGTATGGTGGTGGTTGAAACAATCAGTCATATATTTCTGTGGCCTTTTTGGCATGAAAATTTGCGTGCTCATCATCTTCATAATGATGCCTTGGATCTCAAAAGCTGGCGATTGGGCTCTTGGCTGGACCGAGGGCAATGAGAAGCTTCAGATCGCGTTCGTCATGATGATCTTCCCCCTCATCATGAACGCCCTCCAATACTATATCATCGACTCGTTCATCAAGCTCAAAGAGACCAACCACGAAAGCCATGCCAATGAATCTGATGATGAAGGCCGCCGCAGGAGGTACGACGACAGTGAGGACGAGACTTCACGTGCCAGACTTGTCGACTCGGAGCACGAGACCGACAGTGACTCCGATGACGAAGACGATAAGCCTGTCACGCGTCCCACTCATTCCACGCAACCCAAAAGCAGAGACTCTGGAGAGTATGATCCCGAGCGCGACGGTGACGATCGAACAATCATAGGAAGTAGTGCGAGTGCCCGTGGTCCTCAGGACAAAGTTCCCCAAGAGCTATATCCCAAGGAGTAGAAGAGGTGACTTGAGCTTTGGACAGGGCTGGCTGTTTTGTTTCGAGTTTTACCGGGCTTTCTAGTGGTATGGGTCTTGTGCAAACATTCTGTACTGGTTTTGAGTCGCGGCGTCTCACCAGTGGATGGAGATATATTATATTGCAAGTACTGACCGTTCTTTGTTGGCTTTCAGCGGCAATCAGGCTCACGGCGTTAATGGGAGTCTGGGGCGTTTTCAGATCGGATTACATTTCGGGATTAGAAGCGACATCAAATCAAACTTCACAAAGCCTCATCGGCGATCATTATTTTCGTTCAGCAAACTCGTCATGTAAATGAATGGTTAAGTCTTGGCTAAAACGCCAAGCCTGCATGAAGCTGAACAGAGTTTCCTCACGTAGGCGGGAAGTCCTTGTGTCGTAGCCAAATGGTGCATTCAAGCCATCTCCCTATGGGCTGACGAGACAAATCCGTATCATGGGTCCCTCCAAAAATATAACATGAGTATCCAGACCCAGATTCTAAAGAAAGGTTCAACCGGAATTCTCCCCAGAAACGCCGACGCATAAAACTTAGTAAAGTAGTACAGAATGCGGGAAACAACTCCGTATATCCATGAAATACTCAGAAAAGAACAATCATACATGTCTTTGCTTTGGTTCACCTCCAAAATCTCCTAAGTCCACTATTTAAGGCTGGTATGGCTTGAAACCTGGGTATGGCTCTTGCGGAGAGTGAGACTCTGGCATGTGTTGCCGCTGCTGTGCAGGATGAGCACCATAGCTGGTGTCAGGGCCAGGAGGCGGTGTTCGATAATCGTTCAGAGGCGCTGGAGACTGGCGAGGTGGCTGAGCGTAGCCGAAATCGTTTTGGGGGCCGGGTGATTGACGAACGGGCGATCCATAGCCATAATCTTCTGGTATAGCTGGAGAACGGCGAGGAGGAAGCTGTCCATAAGTACCAAATTCATCCTGATGCATTGAAGCTCGCTTGGCGAAACTAGCAGGCCGCGGCGGAGGAGTTCCTCGGTATCCGCTATAAGTTGCGGCATAGTCGTTGGGGGACGTGGCTTGACCGTAGCCTTGTTGTCCGTAGCCCTGCATCTGCCCGTAGCCTTGGGTCTGCTCGAATCCTTGATCATGGCCGTAGCCTTGGTTGCTGTATCCATTGGTGTTCAAGGCCGGGGAGCGACGTTCATGGGGCATGGGCGCGACAGCAGCGGCACTGCTGTACATGGGGTTCATGCCGGGGGCTTGATATCCGTAACCCTGCTGGTCGATAGGTGAATATGCATCGGGAGCTTGGTTGGCGCCCAGGTAGCCGCTTGAATTACTCTGTGCCTGGCTGTAGGGGGTCAGATTGTTCGGTGAAACTCCACCCATCATGTTGCTTTGCTGACTATGGGGTGGCTTCGAAGGTAGAGTGTCAAGCTCAACGGCCTCTGTGTGAACCTCGACCTTTTTGCTGCTAGCACCCTCCCAGCTGGGCATCTCAGGGAGGGCATCATCGTCTCTGCCCTTACTCGTTTCGAATTCTGCATACTGAGGTGGCTCGGATCGCATGGGCTTTGTGACCCCGTACTGAGGCGCTGACGGATTCATTGGGGGTTCACTTCGGTATCCATGATGCTGACTTTGGGGAGCATAAGGGTCATCCAAATGCTTCGTAGCACTGCGTGGAGGGTCACAGGCACCGCAGCAGTTACCACAGCACTTCAGGCACTGGCAGCAGTTACAACAACATGAGAGACCACAGCAGCAGCAGCGAATAATACACCAAACAATACTGAAAATGATGAGACCTCCGATGATCATCACACCAATTACTGGCCACCTGATTCGAGTTAGCAAGTAAGGCCTGTTAGTAGCAAAGGATATAGTTACGTACTTGCACCACGCCACGTTCATACAGTTGTCCCAGCTAGAGAAAGCGGTCGCAAAGTCTTCTGATTTCTGTGCAACCTCATCGGTTGTTTGCGCTGCATCTGCTAACATGTCTCGTCGTGAGAGGTCGGCTACAATTGTCCGGACAAACTTGTCTTTGACAACCTCCCAGGCACTGCCCTGGAGGCTGCGCGCCATGGCCTCGTCGATGGAGGGCATTTTACTGATGTGTCCCAGATCAAGACGGAGCTGGTAATGAGTGAAATAAATTCGGTAAGATCGAGAATGGTATAATGAATATGGTGTTGCGTATTTTGCCCGAGGTTGATGGTACAATACTCCTTGGCCGCATAGGCAAGTCGATAATGCTTGAATTGAGTTCGGTGATGTTGATCGAGAAACGGTCAAAAAGTCAAAACACGATGTTATGGAGACAACGACGTATGCTGTATATTCTTCCAGCGCGTGCCAATATTGAAGCGGGTCGTTAATCGAATGTTGGAATGAAGGACGGTGGTTCAGCAGAACAGAACTGTGGATGAAGAAACAAGAGCGGCGCTCGCACCGTCAGTACAAGAGAATGTTTTGAAGAAACAAGGTAATCAAGAGAGTGTAGATGACCTATACGAGGTTAAAGAGAGGCTTGGAGAACGACAGCCACATCAGCATTGTCGTTCGTGTTGATGTAGAGAAAAAAGTACAGCCTAAGCCTAGAAGTCAAAGAGAAGGGAAGAAAGCAACGGTGGAGCTGGAGTTAGAGGCGCCCGCCAGGCGGAGAGGCCTGGCCACTAGGGACATGGAGACGCTGGGAGGTCCAGAATTACCGCGAGTGGCGGGGATGATCCAGGGGAAACGGGACCGCTAGTGGTTCAATTTGCCCCTGATCGATATAACATCCCTGTCAAAAGGGTTCTGAAACTGTGAAACTCGACAGGACTGTCGCTTGGATATCCATTCGTGGGGGGCGGACAGTTCTGTTCAGTCTGAGAGTGGACTCGGCGGAGAGAGAAGAGTCGATTCCGCGTTTTAGAGAATATGTACGCCTATTGTACTGTATTATATTGTACTGAATATGGACGTTGTTGTCGGAATCTGACTGTGAACCCATCCAATACGGGCTTCCAACAGCTAACTCTGACAGTTAGTTGAAGGGGTGATGACGACTCCGTGGCTTGACACTTAACCCTAGCCTTTATAGGACCGACATCGGGTAATTGAACGAATATTCGCGGAGAATGCTGTAAAGAGAATGGTCAACGGCATGCTTGGGAAATTGAGAGTAGCAAGATGGGTGAGCCGATGAGTTTGACGATCTTTGTTGTGTGCAACTTATGGAGTACCGCCTAGAGACATTCTATTCGTAGATCAAAGTGCGACGTCAAAGAGAAATGTCTAGGTGCTTTTAAAAACGCAAACGAGTCTTTATTCCTTGAATCCTGTGCGGTCAAGGCCATGAAATCATCACCCGTATCAAAGACGCCATACTATTGTTAGCCCTTCTGTCAGACAGTTAAGTAGAAGCTCAGCCCTGGTCGTGACGCGGGCCACAGGGGCTTCTTCCATTTCCGAAATGACAGGGTCGTCTCGATTGCCGGACGATCCTGTCGCATAGTTGAAGCGGAAAATGAAGGGTTTTTGAAATGATTTCGTCATTGAGCAGTGTCGTATTTCAACGGCTGGAGGATATCGGAATTGGTGGTAAAATGTGAGATGATCTATGGGTAGATATGGGTTCTGCAAGGTGTGCACATCGGACCAGGCTCTCGGGACTTGGCGTAGAAAATATCAAAGAGCCAAGGCTTGGGTTCCTTTTGTTATGATTGTGATGTGCAGCAGCACTGCCTTTGTACGCGGATGAATTCGGCATTATTGTGCATGTTAACCAAAGAGATATTCAGATCGTCGCCGACTGCTACCATGAGGCGGTATGCATAACCCAACGAATGGTACACTGCAGATTTGTTTCTTCCCGCCCTTATCAAGTGTCATGCAGGTCCCATCAACGGCTGTGGCGTTGATGTCGAATCAACCACTGAATCTGTGCATACGTCAGATTCACCTAATAGTATGCGGCTGTTGTTCAGGAACTTAGTTCGTTCATCAATATCAAGCCTTTGAAGTCACGACAGATCTGTTGAAATGTTAGCAGCAACGCGTCCGAAACATAGGTATCTAACTATTTTGATAAACAAGTGCTAAAGAGAAGACTACAATCAATTAGGGAAAAGGTAATTCTCATAATTCCACCCGGGCCATGCTCGTGAGAGCAGTGCCTCTTATCACAACACAGCATGTCTTGACATAAGTTCATTCAATACATAACGAGCTCCCAAACGCCTCGATCGGTGGTATCCTTTACATATCGGCCACATTATAAACCCGTTCCCATTCCAAACGCACCCACTGCCGTACTTTACTTTCCAGGAGGAGGACCCGCAGGTGGGGAGTAAGCACCTTCACGCTGGTATGTACCCTGAGGTTGCTGAACTCCGGAATACTGGCCCTGGCCGTAGTACCCGTCGTTGGTGTTGAATGTCGTACCAGTGTACTGAGGCTGCTGTTGCTGGCCGTAGGCTGGGGGTGGAGGTGGAGCTCCGTAACCACCGTTGTTCTGCTGGTAGCCCTGGTTATAGCCGCCTTGGTTGCCGTAGTTGTACATCTGGTGGTTGTTGTTGTTGTTGCTGCCCCAAGGCTTGGCCGCCATCCATCCAGTGCCGTACACGGGCTTAACGCCACGGCTTTTGCGACGGCGAGAGAATCTTGATGTGTTAGTAAGATACTTCAAACGGCGACGGGGGTACAGCTACTTACAGGCAGCAAGAGAGGAAGAGAACGAAGAAAAATATGATGATGCCCGCTAACACCCAGCGCCCCCAGTAGGACCAGTTGTTGCGAACACATGTTCGTCCGTTCCAATTCCAGCCATAAGAGCATCTGTAGTAGTCACGCACAAAAATGTCTTCAGTGGGCGCCATTGTGATTATGAAGATGCGTAATCTGTATACGATACGCGACGATGATGGAGTAGAGTTGAAAAACGTTCAGTTGGCAAACTCTGTTTTTGACGAGTTGTTTGCGGCGCTGAGTCGCTCGGCTATGACGTAGAATGTGTGTGACGGGTGTTCCCAGGGAGGTGACGTCTTTATCTGATAGGTTGTGTAAAGATCGGTTACAATACTAATGTAGGTGATTGATGATTAGACCGAGCCGTCAAAGGGTGTAAGAAAAATCAGGATGATAGGTTTTTTTTTGGTGTTACAAGTTCCAGGCAAATGAGAGAAGGGGAGACAAGAGAGTGGGAGGAGGGCCCTTTATGCATAGTGCAACTCAAACGACGAAGCCAAGAGAAAAGAAGAATCATGATATCCACCCAAGCTTGGCCTAGAGCCTAAAGTTGCCTGCGTAACTCCAACAAAACGCGGTCACAAGCCTCTTCTTGGTCTCGAGTGTTTCCACTTTTGTCTCGTCTTGGCCAACATGGTGTGCTCTTGGCTATCAAACGAGGTTTAATGCTATTGCGCTGCGTGGTCGACAGTGGCTGTGCGTAGAGATACAGTAGCAGTTGGGAGCTTGGCGCTTACATCACGGTAACCTTCACATCTGCCGTGATTCCCGCTATACAATCATACCATCCATGCTATGGACGTTCAAGGGTGATATACAGGTTTGAGGAGTGAGTCAAGGCCGTCATCAATACGCAGCGTATTTTGCGTATCAATTGACAACCAGTTTCCTTGGGCAAGCAAATGGTAGCAGAAAGGCCTGTACTTCACTGGCAGCTCTGGACCGAGATCATTACTTGTCCAAGACTGCTAAGCCTCAAAAGTCTTCGCGGCCAAATCCCAGTTCCTCGTTGATGTGGCGAAGCGAATGAATGACGTGTTTCCACCCTTACCTACCTACTCCATCATTTCGTTGTTAATGATTGATCTGCTACATATAAACCACATTCTAGAACGTCATGAGCGACTCGTAAAAGGACCTGCATGAACATTCTAGACTTTTATGTAAGTATTCCAAATGCCAAGCAAAAACCAACCCAAACTCTCGGACTCGGCATATCGCAAAAGCTCAGCTCATAGACCCTCCAAAGACCCGTCTTGGAGCTCCATGTTAGTTCGGCCTACGGCATTTAAGCTTATTAATAATCTATGCTGTCTTTTCTGAAATAGATAAGGATTAATTAAATCATCTATCGATAGTATTATATGATCCTCGCATACATAGAGGCATTAGGCCAAGAGGCTCAAATAGCACTGATGTCATGTGTCATGTGTGGGGAGTGATCGAAGCTGCGGCATGTCTATGATAATTTGAAGGAGTCGAACTATTCGAGAACATAGAAACCGCTTTCATTCTCCCATGGTATACATACATTGTTCGGTGCCATCTTGGTCCCCAAGATGCCAAAAGAACAGCTTCCGCTTCGATTGTCCAAGCGTATCGTATTAATGCTGGCAGTTACAACTGTTAAAACATATCAGGTTCGCCTTCAGCCTCGCTCTTCAAAAGAGGATCGATTTCGTCGCACCGACGGCATAACTTTTGTGTCCCAAACGCCGTCAAAGAAATCATCCCACAAGCACCAATCAGATATTACCCAGCGCCTGTTCTTTCGTAACGAGCCCGTGATCCGTCGTGAGGAGATGTAAGGAAATCGTAAGGTTCATTCGCTTCAAAGACCGGCTCTTGGGAAAGAGTAGCGTTGTCGTCGAAGTTCGTCAGCTGCCTTCATGTTGCGTTCCGCGGCCTGCTGAGCTTGTTGTCGCGCTGCTATCGCGTTGACCTTCTCTCGAGCTCTGAGCAGGCTGCTGTTATCCTGCTGCTTGATCTTGGAGCGAATGTCGTATAGTTGCATGAGTGTGCTTGCTCTCTCCAGGTCCTCTTCGAACTGTGCAGCAGTTTTGTCAGTGCCCGAGTCCCAGCTTCGCCTTGGAGACGACGGTTGGTGGGGTTGCCTCACATCAGATTCGCCTCGGCGAGGAGTTCCAGGGCTAGAGTTTACAGCTGAACCGGAGTGGGAGCCGGGAGAGAGAATGCGGCGGCCGAATTTGTCGAATTTCTCCGATGACCAATGCCGCTGTAAGCCTGTGGGACGTCGCTGTTGATTCGTAGTAGGACTCGAGGTAGGGGCATTTGCAGCTGCAGTCACTTCGACTCGGGTGTAACTCGAGTTGGAGGGGTTGTTGGCGCTCACGATGGCCTCTGCGGCTCCCGGATCCTGACACAGGAGATACGTTAGTCTCGACTGTACAGACGAACATGCAGCAGAAAGGAGCTCAAGATTAAAATTGGGCACGTACGGCGGCGCCGATATTACTGAGGTCGGCAAGAACCTGGGATAGTTGAAGGCTCTCCATTGCTCGCGATGGAAGAAGTGGTTTGGGTGTTGCTAGAGGTGACTGCGATGAAGGGTATCGGTTATTATAATGCTTCCTATCGAAACCATAGGAAGTCAAAGGAAGAAATTCAGGTCTGTTAGGAAGAGAGTTTGGGTGGAAGTGAGGTCAGAGGAGGGTTGGAGGGAAGGTGTTTTTTTGAACTGTATAACAGGTTGCGCCTGGGCCTGGTTTGGCTTGCTTTGCGGTGGGCGACTTTTGGGTTTCGGAGGGCAGGCAGCCGCAGATCCATCCACAGCGCCTGCCGTGCGTGTGCCAAGCGACAGGGGGCGAGCCATAGAAATCAGTGTGGGCGGGGGAGACAAACTGATATCTACAGTACAGTCACTCCCAGGGTATACATCCTTTAGTATCATGTTTATTAACATCAGATGTAGTTGCAGATACGAGTATGTTCTTTACTGAATTTTTGAGAGATCTACCAAGAATGAAAGGGAAGACAACTGCTCGCTCCAGTAGTTAGGTACTGGTAGGTATCAGAATGAAGCTTCTCGATAGGTTATGCTGAGAAATAAGAATTAGTGAAGCAAAACACCACTACCACTACAGCACAGCCCATGATTGGTCAGGTTCACGCTTCCAAAAGTCCAGAGCTCCAGCGCTGCATTTTATCGTGCATAAGATAGCCGGTCACCCCCGGCTGCAGTGGGATCTGGTCGAGCGGTAGTGGAGGGTAGCGGGGGGCTAAATGTCCAAAATTACAGGTGTCAACAAGCCAAGTCTGGGGTTTACTCCTCCCCCACACTTTCACTAACCTCCCGGCATCGAGAGTCACGAGCTCGGAAAGCCATGTCTGACAGTGGGAAAAGCTACCTAATCAACTACCTATGTGTCTTACACGAAGAACCACTAGAACAAGGAAAACTCACCGCTTCTCTCAGTTCAATCATGCAGGACAAGGCTGTCATGAACGGCGGGATCGATCGACAAAGCATATCGCCATTCATGTTCTGATCATCGCTGTTTTCCGATGATAATGAAATGGTGGGAGGAGGTCTTTACCTTATTTTACCCAGAAGTGCCAGAGGGGGTCCTCTCATGGTTGCGTTGCATTCCATCAAGCGGCGAAAGTTGTCGCCCAATATTGGATCAGACTTCACCGTGCACTCCGGACAGGGGGAGGATTGCCATCATCAACAACCAGCCTCTGCTATCATCACTACGGACCGACGGAGCCTGTTTTTCAGGTTCGCCGGCCTCTGCTCACTAGAAACTCTCGTTAGACCGCCCAGTTTGTCCATCTGCCCTATCAACTCATCTCACCAGCAGTTTGCATATACACTCTTTCTCGTACACGTCATTGTAAATAACATTCTCCCCAGTATTCTGTGTTGGGCTCCTGACTAAATCACAACTATCAATGATCATTCATCAAACAGCTCCCATCCGAGTCCATCCGATTTCGGGCCACATGATCAAACTTCAGATATAACGAATTGACTCCGTATCATCCAGGGTATCGGCCCTGTCGATACTTGCAGCTTTTGACGCATGCAACCCTCCATAGGGATGGTTGAGTGGATTCCCCGCACTGTCGACGCGTGAGTATCCAAGCTCGTACGGAGACTTAGCTGAGCCTATGTAGGAACTGATTCATCATCAACCAATTACACTGTATGAATGATGATCATAAGAAAAGCCAGAGCCGTTATCAAGAATCGTAAAACCTTTCCGCAAGCCATATTAACATATATGGTTCATGCAGAGTTTATTGTATTAAAGATTCGTCTCAAGCATCAGTGCATATCATCAATGTCTAGGCTCAGCAGGTATTTACAGTCTTCAATCCGGAGTACAATCCCGACTTTCCCATTCATACGGCAAATTGGCTAGATTCCCTATGCTACTATAGGGTTGGTGCAGGGTGGAGCTGACGTCCAATTCATAATCATCCTCGAAGCGCCCCTATTGTCGATCTGGGGATTAGGTACTGAGAACACCGAGAGTCCTCCGAACTTCATGCGTCAGGGTATACCATGTATACTACTTTCCATCCAGGTCTTACATAGGTCAGGAATTTAAGGAAACGCTCGAAAAGTCATGCTTGAGGAGTGATGTCATTCGCCTTGACTGCGATATTGACTCCTGGTTTTCATTTGCTTTGACAGCGGATCGCGGCACCGGTCCGCCGATTCTTCAGACCCACCCCCGCATACCCCATAGCCTCCGAGACCCGGCCCCACACAGATCTACAAGTAAGCCCCGGTCCGGGTTCACAAAGCTGTTCTAGACTGAGGGCATGAATGAGGCGACTCAACTTCTGACACGTTCCTTAGGCTATCGTACATCTCGTATGGCTCTTTGCTGCAGATGACCAACTGGAGGTCAAAGAAAGCAAGACTCTGCGCCTAATATTTACACCATGATTGTGAATACAATACTTAATCCGCAATAGTCCTACCCTCCTACCCACCAGGGATAGGAAGAGTATTTCCACTACAATCTGTACACTATGAACAAGGATTCACCACTCACAGGTTCTGTTATCTATAACTAACCATATATTTAACACTTTCGTATACTAATAGAGTTGTCACTAAATACTATGCCATTCATTAAGAAGGCTGACTTTACGCCATTTCATTTGAGACAAACATTGTCGTCATCTGCCGTATATCTGACTGTGAAAACGGGAAAGACTATCAAGCCTTATTAGCCCCCCTTTCTTTGAACTACGAGACTCGGCCCAAATTCTACAACCGACTTTCATAAGTAAGATTATATAATCTTTGATCATGTCACTAAATCAAAATTTCTGTGAGATCTTTCATCTTTGGAGTATGAGGGCACGTCGGTTGGTACTCCTCGATGCTTACATAAACAGATTTCCTCCAGTGCCTCATGAGACCACCTCTTTACTACATCTATGTATATTATGATATTTATGAAGAGATTATACTAAACTTTTGTAGAATTAGTAGGGATTATTCTAGAATTCCCTAAAGTACTATAAATCTATGATAAAACTTCACGAGATTAGTGGGGCCCTAATGGTAACCATACCGTCAATGAGTTGATTCATACTTGTATTCAAAGTTTCTTCAAAGAACTATTCATAGGTCATCTCAACACGCCAATCCCATAGTTTTAGGGTACTTCCTGCCTGATATCCATAAGTGTCATTAAACCCAGTCTTTTATTTCCTTGCGGAACCACCTCAAGCCTTCTCGATTCGACACACGAGATCGGAGCCATCAACAGAATCACCCTCACGGACTTGAAGGTTTGAAACCTTGCCGCTATGGGGGGCGGATATGCTCATTTCCATCTTCATGGCAGAGAGAATGGCGATAGGATCACCCTTCTTGACCTCAGAGCCCTCGTGGACACGGAGCTCAACCAGAACACCAGACATAGGCGCGCCGACCTGGCTCGAGTCATTAGCATCGGCCTTAGGTCGGCTGATGTTCTCAACAGCAGCCTTCTTGTCAACAACGGTGACTTGTCGAACCTCTCCGTTCATCTCGAAGAAGACCTCACGCTGTCCTGTATTCTCGGACAGAGGACCGACAGCAAGGAGCTTCAGAATCAGCACCTTGCCCTTCTCGAGCTCAACGTTGAACTCTTCGCCGATCTCAGGGCGAGATAGGAAGTATCGAGTAGGTAGGACGGAAAGGTCACCGTACTGCTGGACGAACTTCTTGTAGTCCTCAAAGACCTTGGGGTACATGACATAGGACGCCACATCGCATTCGGTGACTGGAGCACCATACTTCTTGCCGAGCTCACGCTTTGTCTTGACGAAGTCGACGGGGTCGAGGAAAAGACCAGGTCGCTTATCGAGCTTACGACGGCCGCGAAGGGCATCAGTTCGTAGAGGCTCAGGGAATCCACCGTAAGGCTGTCCCATCAGACCCTCAAGGAACTCCAACACGGACCCGGGGAAATCGAGCTGGGAGGCCTTGGCCTTCACATCCTCGGGGGACAGACCGTTGGAGACCATGAACTGGGCAAGATCACCGACAACCTTGGATGTAGGAGTGACCTTGACAATGTCACCGAGAAGCTCGTTGGCATGCTCGTAGGCCTTCTTGGTCTCAAGCCACTGGGATCCAAGACCTAGCTGAGAAGCCTGGAACATCATGTTGGTCAACTGACCACCGGGGATCTCGTGCTCGTAAACCTCGGGGTCGGGGCCAGCAAGATGGGCCTCGAAAGGAGAGTAAAGCAAACGAAGTTGCTGCCAGTAGACGTCAAGTGATCGAACAAGCTTGGGGTCCAGACCAGGGTCACACTCGCTACCCTCAAGGGAAGCAATGATGGCGTTGATACTGGGCTGCGAAGTCATGCCAGACAGGCTGTCGGTGGCAGCATCGACAGCATCGGCGCCCGCCTTGGCGCAGGCGACCATCGAAGCCACACCAGTACCGGCAGAGTCGTGTGTATGCACATGGATGGGAAGGTCAGGGTACTTCTTTCGGATTGATCCGATCAGAAGCGTAGCCGCATGTGGCTTGAGCACACCAGCCATATCCTTGATACCCAAGATATCGATGTCAAGGGCGACCAGCTTATCGGCAAGGTCGAGGTAGTACTCCAGATTGTATTTCTTGCCAGGGCGAAGCACTATAAGGATGGTCAGTAGGTAAACATCACGATGGGGAACAGGGTACTGTACTGTCACCCGAGTAGGAAATCGTTCCCTCGGCTACTCCGCCAGCCTTTTGAACAGCTTTGATTCCAACCTCGAGTTGGTTGATATCGTTCAGGGCATCAAAGACACGGAAGATATCGACACCATTCTTCTTGGCCTGGTCGACGAAGTGATCGATGGCGTTATCAGGCAGAGAGGAGTAAGCAACACCGTTAGCACCACGGAGAAGCATCTGGAAAGGAATGTTGGGAACAAGCTTTCGCATCTTTCGGAGTCGGTCCCAAGGGTCCTCATAGAGGAATCGCATGGCAACATCAAAGGTGGCACCACCCCAGCACTCAAGGGAGTACAGGTTGGAGAGCGCATG